ATATTAAATTATTGATAAATTAAAGTTTTTCAATTTTATTGATAAATTTATTATTTTTACAATAACTTTTTATTACAATATTTAATTAATAATTATCTAATTAATTTTAATTTTATTTTATCTCTTTAATAATATCAAATAATTATTATATTTTTTATTCTTATCATAAAATAATTATATTTACTTAATAAGATAACTGTCGAGTATTAGGTTATTTTGGAATAAATTTTCCTTCAGTCACAACTAAATGCCTCTCCTCTTTCTTTTAGATCTTCGTACAATCTTATCAAAAATAGGGAAGCACTTTACAATTCCTCTTATTTTTTTGATAATTATTTGTTTGGAAATTACGAAACTTTCATAATATTGCTTCCAATTTTCTTCATTTTCCACTGATGTTCACCCAACGAAGGCTCGTTTTGATCTTACAAATTTCATCACTTTGGACTGTTCAAGGGAAAAAGGAATTAAAAGTACGTAACCGATTACTAGTGGAATGATCACTCGAAGAAACGAGTGTAAAGGGGCTAAGATAGAAGATATTTTTTTGAAATAAAATATCGTTTAGGTTAAATTTTTAATTTGATTTCTAAATTATTATAAAGATTTTTTTATTTAGTCTTTAAACTAAAATAATTGTTAATTTGGTTCTTAAATTATTGTACAAATATTTAATTTGGTCCTTACTGTTTACCTATTTACCCTAAGTTGGTCATTCTATAAAAAAACGGTTAACGTGTCTCATTATTAACATGACACGTAACCATTAAATTATTATTTTTTATCGTTAAGTTATTATTTTTTGTCATTAAATACTAGACACATCAACTTTTTTTTGTACAGATGGACTAATTTGGGATAAATTTTTAAACAGTAATGACTAAATCGGTCCGTACAATAATTTAAGGACCAAATCAAGGATTTTGTTAGTTTAAGGACCAAATCGAAGGTCCATGTAATAGTTCATGGACCAAATTGAAGATTTAACCTTTGATATGTGGGACCTACATTCTTGTTGATTGTCGAGTTTTTGTAGCCGGTTTCCAATTTCCAGTCTGAAAAATTGAGTTACATGGATAAATAGATGAGCGGTTACTGAAGGGAGAGTACGTGCCAGAGCGAGTGCTCCTAGCAATCCTCTTTTATTGATTGTCAACTGACTAATGATTTCTTTGAGAATTTTCCCAATCTCGACACTTACTTTTAACTTTGGAATTATAATTT